GGAGATTTAAGGTTTTGTATATATATTTAAAATGGAGCTTTAACGTGTGCAGAATAAGGGCTCAACATGGGTTTCTATACATAGCATATAATTTGTATAAGAATGTAAGGCAAACAACTGCTTGATGAAGTACTTCAACGATTTTTCCAACTGATCTTAAGGTTGAAAACCCCACATCTGACATCTGCACGTGAGAATGGAACGGCAAACCGCATTTAACACTTTAAATTTTGAAGAGCAACTTTTTCTACCTAGACTTTCTGCACAAAGTGTGTATTGAGTGACAAACAAGAAGTTAACTTTGAAATACCATTTTCCTTTCAAAGCTGGTCTGCCTCCTCTCTTAAAAACAATGACCTTCTATTTTTGTAAATTAACCGTTGTTCCATAGGTACCAGTATTTCGCCAGGCATATTTTGTTGTAGAGGGGAAACGTTAACCGCAAGCAAGACCACATCGCCCGCGTACATAAGGGCTTTTATAAACTAGCTACTAACCTTGATCCCTGCATTCAATTAGATAGGTAAATCATCAATAAAAATAGAGAAGAGAAGGGGGCTGAGAATACAGCCCTGCCTTACGCGTGATTTCACTTGAACTCGGGACTTCTAAATGAGAACATTATTTCAATAAGAGAGTTGGGATAGTTGTAATTTTGTACTTGAAAAACGGGATGGCAATCTTCCTGTGAAGTTATGTCGGTAACTTAGGTTCGTTTATGATTTTTTCAATCAGTTTTAATTTTGAAAGATGGGCTTTTGTTTTAGTTAGACACTTCAACAATCCTAACCATAACCTAAACTAAAAGCCCCGGTGACGCGAAAACACCTCAAAAACATTTTCATATGAAAAGCTGACACGATGGCTGACTTGCCTAACGTAACATAAACTAACCAACCCGGCCCTAACCCTAATTCTAACCTGTTCTTTCTCTCTTAGCTGTCTAACACTAACTATAAACTAACTTCACCTAACCTATCTATTATACTAACTCTAATCTAATTTTACCTAACCCCTCTCTAACACTAACTCTAAACTAGAGTCTCCAAACTAGTCCCTAACGACTAACGAATAATCTGGATCTCGGTATGGTGAAGTGAATGAAAAACCAATTCAATTGTTATATGCCAAGCTTTCGACATATTTTAAGGTCATAATCGGGACAGAATAATCTTAGAGATGTCCCCATATTGACATAATCAAGCTTTTCATGAAAAGTTTCAATTTTTATTTTGAACATAGCTCAGTCCCAACACTGCCGAGGACTGTGAATTGGACTGTGCCTTCAAAAACATTTCCATATTAAAAGCTGACTCGACTGATTTACCTAACCTAACATAAACTAACCTAAGCCATCCCTAACCCTAACTTAGCCTCACCTAATCTGCCTCTAACACTAACTCTAATCTAACTAAACTATGCGCACCTCCGCATCGTAATGCAAAAATAATCACGCAAATTGGCGTACGAAGTATAAAAGCATAGCCATATTAATCGCTGTCTCGATGTCTAATCGAGTTGATCGTTGTACCAAGATTTTACGTTATGGGTCAAAATTGTACATAATTTTTTTTTCTCGGGGTAATCCTAATCTGCATATTTCGACCGTATTGGAAGGATTTTCAGAACATAGGTATGATAAGTCAGTGAGACAAAGCGTGAACCGGAGAACCAATTTCGACAACTCCCCCCCCCCTCCAGAAACCCTTTTAATTTTAGAAGACAAAAGTTTTGCTTGAACTTGAAACAAATTATGTTTATCCACCCTAAGCCGGATATTCTAGACTTTTAAAGTTGCGGGATAAGTGGCGTTTGAAGCGTTAATTACGATTGGTAGGTGACGTATAAATGGCGCGACGTCAGGGATATAAGCAGGGAGTTATGACGCTCACTTTTTTGCAATACCACGTGCATGAGCGTTGACTTTTCACAGCGTGCTTTTATTCCGGTTACCCAAAAAATGAGAGTCATGCTAAACAGCCAGAAAATATTACAAATTGTCTTTCTAGGCTATCTACGGATTAAAAAAAGGTTCGCGCCTCGCATCACCGGCTAGATGGGAAAGTGTTGATATTTTTCATGCAAATCTTCACTTCTTTCCCCTGGTCCTTTAATGAGCTGTCTATCCCAGACAAAAGTGAATACTGACTGTGAATCTTCACCACTGTAATTAACTCTGAGAAATGGAATGTAAAAGGAACGATAGACAGTTGAGGACGGTTCTCTTTTGTAGGAAATTGTTGGAATAAGGGTGAATATCATGGATCGTAATCTATCAAACAGATCCTTGAATATTAGGATGAAATTAATTTTGATTTATTTACTAATCCTATTTAGTTAATCCAGTATGTTTATGTGAGAAATGAGGACTTTCCCCTCGTCAAAGATTAAATTCAAGTAGCAAATGGCTTATCCATAATTATGAGAAGATAAATTGTGAAGTGACATGTCCTCATTCTGACTAATTCTATTGATTGGCCTATATTTCGAATATCTCATTTGAATTCGCATCCAACTGCATTCAGCGAAAGCGTTCCGTTAAAAATGGAAATCATCGGACCCAGATCTGCCTCGGTATTTCGTAAGCAACCTGCAAGTCATCGCTGTTATAAAGATGTACAAAAACCACAATCTCAGAAAAATAGGACACGGCTATAATCATAAACAACTGAAAGTAAGAATATTCCAGCGGATTGAATTGACTTTTGTGTTAGTTTGTCATAAACGTAAGCACGCTTCTATTTTCATTTTCTCCTTATTTTCGGTCTACTCTATTCTCCTGGCGGATCTAATACTTTATTTCTTTTTTGGCCCTACAAAAAACCATCGGTAATCTATTTAGGCCAGATCCTCCCAAGGATTTTGATTAACGAAACTGATTCTGATAACATGAAACTTGATCAAACTGCACAGGTATGCTTCGTTGTATATTTTCTCCATCAGTAGTTTGTATGGTTTTGGAAGTTAATGACCTTTTTTATAAGATGCCATGTTTCTTTCTCTGTCTTTTGCTTACTAGTTTATTTATTGTGTCTGTTGTGGTTCTTTTCTATTATTTTTTTCATTGTTTGTACCTCTTGTGTTTGTACTTCTCAGAGAAAGTAGTACTGCTTTCAACTTATATCGGGTATTTGACTGCTGTCAATTTGTGTCTTTGTAAGTGGGTTGAATCGTCTTGTATTTATTCGTGGTAGTTAAATTTGTCTATATTACTAAAACGTTCATGGTGGTAGGTTAGGTTAGGTAGGATTAGGTTAGGGACGTTGTGCAAGATGTGTTGTGTTTCTAAATTTCCGTCATTTTTCCTAAATGACCTTATATGTTCTTAGTGTCCGTCTTTTTTAACATGAATTTTTGTCATAAAAGTTGAGAGGAATGTGCTAGCGTTTTTCACGTATTAAGACTTTGTATTTTTGATTTTATGATAAGTGATTCTTACAATTTTTAAACAATTTGAGTTGTTGATGTATGTATTCATGGATTATTTTCCTGTTCAATGTGATTTATTGTATATTTCTAGGTTTTCAACTATGTTTTCTCTTTTATGTGCATTTCATGCAATTATTTCTCTTACTGACACCCCTATATATTTTTCTAAATATGCCATTTTTGTCTAGTGTATTGTGCCTATTTTGTACCATGAGTTTTCAAATTGTGTTTCTTGTCTTTAGTATACTTTTATAAGTACTACATAATCTTTAGGTTGTTTGTTTCTATTTTTTTAATGGATATGTTTTTGAGCTGGATGCCTAATTACCATTTTCGCGTTAGTTGGAATTAAGTATTGGTTAGGATTAGTGACAAATTAAGTTAGGTAAAATTAACGTAAGAGAGAGAGGTTACGTTATGGTTAAAGACGGTTAGGTTACGTTAGTTAGGGTTAGGGACATGGTGTAAGACATGTTGTTTATTTCGAAATGACGTCGTTCTCCATATATGACCTCATTATGCTTTTTTGTATGACCTCCTTAAAAGAAGGATGAAGTCAACTGAATTGAACTCAGAAACTAGGAAAAGTACAATAAAGCCAAAAGGCTGCAGTGCTTTAAAAATACCAAACTCCTGCTTCCTAGTATAATTTTCATTATTATTATTATCATCATCATCATCATCATCATCATCATCATCATCATCATCATCATCATCATCGTCAGTGCAATGTTACTTGTTCCCGAGTTCATTATATAGGAATACCAAGATATGGAACGGTTTATGTTGGCTTATGTTGGGGTAAGGGGTACGTTACGTTAGGAAGGTTAAGGTTAGGAATGTCGGATAAGGTTAGGTTACGTTAGGTTAGGAATGGTTAGGGCTATGGACGAGTTATATGATTTAGGTTTAAAGAAGGAGAGTTCGGTTAAGTTAATAATGCCTTTGGTGCTGCAGGGTAGACCCTTTTCGACGAAATCTTTAGCCTGTCCCTGCCCTGGGGTATTGTTCCAATTTGAAATTTTACAGAACGGTTCTGTGGCTCTTGTATGGTTGGGGATCCCTACTTGGCTAGTATATCGTCCTCTTTGTTACCCTTCGGTCCTGTGATTCCTGGCACCCTCACAAGTTACAATATGTTCTCTATTCCTACTTCTCCCAGTTCCAGGGTTATTGACGAGTTACGTTAGGTAGGGTAATCTTATATCCGTTGGTTATGGTTTATAAGATTACATCCCATAAGTCAGCAATCTCGTGGATTAAGAGCTTACTAAGGAATTTCAAACTTAAATTATGGCCGTCAAACGATGCACTCTTGAGTGACCTCCCAAGATTAGGTACGGTCAGGGTTATGGTCGGGTAAAATTAGGTTAGGCATCTCTCTCAACAAGCTGACATTTAACAGATGAAAAAAAGACATTGTATAAATTGCAAGACTAACCTAGTGTCCAAGGATTTGTATAATTGTATTTTGTACTTGAATGCCCGAAGGATTAAAAAAATGCAAAATTTTATCGATAACAACTATGGCAGAACGTCAATTGACGACTTGTTTGTAATTTGTGTTGCAGAATCCAAAGGACCGGGGGAAGTATTTGAAAGTTTGAGGCATGTGACAGGTGAGCGAGAAAGTTTTTTCCTACATTACTATTTTATTTTAGAACTAGACAAATTGGTTGAGCTTTGATAGGACGCGTTTCGGCATTGTTTACACACTACAAGAATTTAAAAACAGCAGTTCTCCATTTTCTTCTTTTTTTTCCAACATAACACAAAAAAAACTAAGTTTTCTAAATAGTAAATTTTTTCCCTAATGCTCGTTTTAAATTATAGTTTTATTGATGTGGGACGCCAGGATTAAAGGACCGATCAACTGCCCTTTTTAATAATCGCCAGATGTGTTAGATGACAGTACTTTTCTCCGTGCTAATATTGTCCTATTAATTTCCATACTTCTTCCCTTCTGATTTCAAATCTGAGTACCTTAAGTAAATATCGTGCTTCCCTTTTCCACGAATTTCTTTTCAATTTTCTTTACCTCATTTGTTTTTGGTCCTGTTGGTTAAGTCCATGTCTTTAAGGCGCAGCTTTCCATATAGGTTCATTTAATTTTTTATACCATTGCTAGGCTGCACGGAAAAAACACTAAATCATGGATAAATAACCTAACTCCTCCCCGAATCCGATTCCCTGCCTAACCTAACGTAACCTATCTACTAAACTCCCCGTTAACGCAAAATCGAAGAGGCGAAAATGGTCACGCAAAAAAAATTGTGTCCAAATCAAAAATTTCTGTTAAAAAGACATAAGGTCATTTAGGAAAAATGACGGAAATTCAGAATACACAACAATACATCTTACACAACGTCCTTAACCTAATCCTAACTAACCTAACCTACCACCATGAACGTTTTAATAATATAGACAAGTTTAACTACCACGAATAAATTCAAGACGATTCAACGCACCCACAAAGACACAAATTGACAGCAGTCAAATACCCGATATAAGTTGAAAGCAGTACTATTTTCTATGAGAAGTACAAACACAAGGTACAAACAATGAAAAAAGTGATACAAAACAACGACAACAGACACAATAAATAAACTAGTAAGCAAAAGACAGAGAAAGAAACATGGCATCTTATAAAAAAGGTCATTAAATAGACGACACTTACACGGGGAAAGAGGCGTACAAAGAAACTAATCTAGTTAACAAATTAGCCATAAAAGTGTACTAAAGACAACAAACACATTATGTATAAAACTCGTATGCGTTCTACCCTTGAATTTTCTACTGCTGTTACAAAATCAACACTTTTCTTCTCAATCTGAATTTGTAGATAAAGTTCAAAATAAATTTATTAGGATCCTTCATTTTCGATTTTCTTTCCTTTCTTCCTCAAAACTGACACATTTTTTCTTTATAATCTTCCAGCACTAGCTGACAAAAGGTGTGTTTTTTATTTAGTATTCCTTTACAATAAAATTAATGGGCGACTAAATTGTACTGACTTCATTGCGTGATGACTTTCAATGTTCCAATACATGTAACTAGGCATATTTATGTTTAGTGTACACTTTTGTAAACAAATTACATATTTTATTCACCAATAATAAGAGAATGAAATAATATATGTCCAAATATTGATTTTTCATCGAAATTTTAATGCATTAAATTAATTATTTAAATATAAATTAAAGGAAATAATTCTATAGATTGTTTTGAAATAAATATAGTTGTTTTACAGAAAAATTAGTTAATCTATTATATAAAATATAATATTATGTTTAGTTTTCTAATTGACCTAATTACTTCTTACAATTGATTATTCTTTTTATGTAAGGTCTTGGTTGAAATGAAAAAGTTAAGTGTCATGAGCGGGGTTCGAACGCACGACCTTCGGCTCAATACGCCGCTGCTCTTACCACTTGACTTAAAACTATTACTAACGTGTATATAAATATAGTTTATTGTTTATTATTATTATTAATGCTTGTTGTTGTTTTTTTCTTGTTATTTTATCAATTTTGTTTATCTACTAGTTAAATTGTTTATAACCAATTCTTTGTAAAGGATTTTGATCCGTGTTTATATCACAATTGGAAAACTCATGGAACAAAATATGCACAATGCTCTAGACAAAAATGGTGTATGAAATAAACCAAAGAAAGAAAAACTGGACCTAGGTGAGAACTGAGAAATATACAAATAAATCACGTTTAAAACGAAAAACTCACGAATGCACACGTCGAAAACTACTATAAACTTTGTACAAATTTAAAAGGATAAGAATCGATTATCAGAATGATAGACTGCAATAAATAAAAATACGTAGATTTAATCCATGAAAAACGTCGACAGATGGACAACAACCGACACACTTTTTACCTTTCACGACCAAAAATCACACTCACCACTGATGACATCGGAAAGATGTAACACCCGACAAACAGAAAGCAGCCAGTATACACTAAAAATATTCGGAAACGACTAAACCACAGGTCATCGTCATGCAGACCTTAGGCCGAAATCTCACAATTTTCAATTGATTATTTTTTTCATTTTCTCCATACAAGAAAATTTTGCCCTTAATTTGTCTCATTGTTTGTACCGATAAATAATTGTTTATGCTATGTTTTAAATTGGGAATATGAATTAGAAGTAAACAAACTTAATCCTTAATCCAAAACAAGGATAAAGGATTTTTCAATGTTTACTTTTTATGGAATTTAAAATGTTTATTCAGTCTCATTGGAATTCTGAATCAATAGTTTAGTTTTCATTTTTGTTTTCTTAATTTCAATTTTTAAACTTAAAAATGCCACTTAGTGCTGAGGATGTTGCGCGTGGTGTGGCACGTTCCATCAGGATGCGGCTGTTACCATGGGAGATCCGTACGAAACCCTGCGAGACGCCGTTAGACGTTTTCGAAAAGTTGGTCCTACCATAGAAGGCCCGGTTCTGGACGCCCTAGGGTAACAACCACACGATGAGCGTTTTTTGACTTTCAGAATTTTGCGAAACCGACTCCTTACTGTTGTTCAAGCGATTCAGGCAGTTCGAAGTGTCCAAATTTCTGAACGCACTGCTCGAAGAAGATTAAATCAGTAGGGATAGAAAATGGCGTTTCAAGCTTTTTCATTCAAGGCTTTTCTAACAGGACCACATTTGACACATTGCACGACTCCCATTTGCTCGAGAACACAGCTATTGGTCTTTGGACGATTGGTCTGCTGTACTTTTTAGAGACTAGTGTAGATTTGATCTACGATCTCCAGATAGACGTGAAAAAGTGTGGAGAAGGCGAAATGGAAGGTACGAAGCCTGTATTTTTTCCCAGACCTTTTCAGCGTAGCTCAGTGATGGTGTGGGCAAGGATTTCAATGGAGATTCGCACAGAGTTGGTTGTTGTGCGTGTATGGTCTTTGACGGCCATTCGCTATGTGGATGAAATTTTGGAACATCATGCGTTGCCTATCCTCGATGAAATCAGCGACAATCCTGTTCTAATGCACGATAATGCCCAGCCACATATCGCACGCACCGTATAAACGTACTTTCAACATCATAACATCAGCGTTTTAGCCTGGCCAGACTTGGACCCCATCGAATGAATTTGAGATAACCCCAAAAAACGAATAAGAGTCCATCACCCCCGATACACTCCACGATTTTAAAAGGAATCTTCGTGAAGAATGGGCTAACCTCTAGCAAAGAGACATTTCCAGACTGTTAGAAAATAAGGCGAGGCGTCTTCGAAATGTAATTAAGGCAAAAGGAGGAAATACGCGATATTATCCTTAGCAATTTACATTTTTAGACGAAGACTCCATTATTACACTTTAAAAAGCATGTAACTTTGGTTAATATATGAAAATATATTCAAATCAAGTTATATTACAAGTGGGTGGAATTTATTGCCTGTCAGTGTATTTTAGATGATAGTTTGTCCTGAAAGATCTAGATTCAAGGCTTTTGTTTACATAAGTATCAGGTGAATAAGGTACGAATAAAGTGATATTCCGATAGTGAAAAATTGTGATTAGTCAACTTTTCTATCTCCTTCCAACTATAGTTGAATGATTTTGATCATTAATACGAAGCAGTCTTTGTTGAATAGATACCGGTAAAAAAAAGGGTGAAGCGACGTAATCGGAGATTTCCGTCATGGCAGATTGCTTGGGAAAGGACATTTCGGTTTGGCGCCTCTGGCAAAAGTGGAAAATGTTTTCATGTTTTAATGTTTAAAAACACGTGTTAAAGTGTTTTCACTCTCCTTCCACCTCGGCGGCTTCTTCTTCAGCTCCCCCTTTTCTATTCCAACTGACCGTCGGCCATTACTGAATTAATTAACGGACATAACTTAATTCACTTTCTGTGTTCAGAGCTCTTATTACGTCGCCGGCTTTATTTCGCTTTCCTGAACAACAGGGACAGCGAAATACACGCGGGATTTGTTCTACTCACAACTTTTGGAAACTTTGACCCCCTTCAGGCCACTCAACCCGTCACATCTTCGAAAGAACGCGTTTTCAGAAAGATTTTCACCTTTGAAAAAGACAAAAATACGCCGTGCCTACATGCATGTTCAATATTGGTTGACGTTTCCACCGGCCCGTCACGAAACTGTTCTTCATTATTCTCCCTCGAAACGGTTCCTTCCATTAAACACATTCCATATTTACTACACTCATGCCGGTCCCTTTGACACGTCGTTCATTCCTAACCGTGAACATTTTTGCCCGGAACGAGTTTATCCGAGGGTAGAAACCGAATCAAAAGAGACTATCTTATTTATTGAGCAGCGTGGTTAAGAGATACCTAACTGGACTCTCCTAACCTTACACCTACCTAATCTAAATTTACCGTCCCTAAACCTACCCAAACCTAACCTTCAATACATAAGATGACAGCTTACTAAAGAGTGCAACACTATTTAGCAGATTATCGGCTACAGGTATCGATAGTAAGCTCCAAATCCACAAGTTGGGCTATTTTTCGAAAATAATCTTATAAATCATAACTGGCGGATAATAAGTTCAAACGCGCCTACTTAACTTAAGTCGTCCATAATACTAACTAGCTCTTGCCCTAAAGAAACCCAACCTGACCCTTC